TATCGTAGCCACCCCTCCCAGTCTAATTCTGGTGCTGGGATGCATGTTGACAAATCATTTCCCACCCACAGACACGTGGCAACATCCCTCATATGTAGGTTAGCTTTCTCCTTAGAATAAACAGGAAAACAGTATCCAATGACTAGCTTTCCTATCAGCACAGCATGGGAATCCAGAATTATTCATTTTCAGCTAATTGCCTCTAAGCTGTCAGCTTCATCACCAACCAGGGAACAAACTCAGCAGACAGCTTATTTACTTTAAACAGTACCTCAAATACAGAAATTGTTCTGTATTTCATCTTCACAAGACTTCTGGCAGTTGGAATCACCTTCGCTATTTCAACACTGTTTAAGTCTGATTTCTCTTCAATTCTCAAAAAACCAGGCAACTACTAAAACCACATCCTCCCCTCACCTTACTCTGCATAAACATATCAGGGGAGAGATCTCTGCTCCAGACTTCTGGGTTTAGATCTGCTTTGAGTTCCCTGCACGCAGCCAAAGACTACTACCACCTTTTGAGCAGAGTCAAAGTTCCACGCAGACAAGGAAGTTTAATCTCCTCCAGACTGACTAAGCCAGCACAGAGGCACACCACCACACTAAAGGATTTGCAGAAATCATGTCACTTAGGTAAAAATAAAATTGAAGAAGTTAAGGCACTGTATTATGATGTCATAATGAGAAAGAGCGCAAAAACGCACTACAACATGTTAGTGGCTAATAGCTTTGGTTTGGGTCACTTCCTATCAGTCTGCATCTGTCAGCAGATCTCTTTCTACATTCCCAATCCGTCCTGGAACTTCTTCCAGAGTCCCGGTCAGACTCAGGATAACTCAACCCACGGAAAAATGGCAAGCTTTATGCTCAGGTCCTTCCAGACATGAGGCCAAGGAAACCTGTGCCGCACGGATTTCCTGCAATAAATAGAACTGTTTACATCCAGCAGCTCCTCTCCACATCACAGCCAATTACAGATCATCATGCAGTGCCACATGAAGATGGCAGCAGACTAGCAGGCAATTATTGGGTCTTTCATGCTGAAAACGTATTTGTCCCAGGGGAATAAGGCATCTGCATAATTAGCAATAGCAGTTACACAAAAAATAATTAGCCTGCTGAAAGCTTGAAGGAGGAAAAACTGTAATTTTTGCTTCAAGAGGCTGGCTAATTACATGCCAAATAACAAAACAGGGATGCACTAAGAATCATCGAGAAACCAACATGGATTTTAACTTCATATTCTAGACAGAGAAAGGTCCTCTGGTAGCCTAGCAACAAGCAATACTTCAGCATACCAAAGCTTTCCTGCCTTGATGAAACCCTGCGCATACCGTGCAAACCTCCCCCACCCCACTGCTCATTTGATTCCTGTATTATCAGACAGTGAAAACAAGATCTGGCAAAAAAAAAAAAAAAAAAAAATTCAAGATAAACTCAAAGCAGCACTAATGGTTCATGGTATATATATGGTATATATGGTAAATAAATGTCTGAAAATAATCATGCGTAACAAAACTCATTCTGATTAGAAATGATTCGCAATACTTATACATGGGGTCAGGATGTGACCTGTTCTTTTAAGGACCTTTTCTAGTAAAGGTGAATTAATTTTTGTTCACCTGGGAATTTGTCTCTCAGGAAGCATGAGTTAAGAGAGATCTTAAACCAGCAGCACCAGCACTCACCCCACCCATCACTGGGAGCAGCCCAGAAAGCTTATCACAAACAAATCTCAGAGCTAGAAGATGGTTTTAATTGTAATTCACCTCTGACAACTTATTATGACATGTTTCATCACTTCAGAAACAATTCTTGCTATGCCAACCTGCCCAGCTCTGCAAGAAGTCAGGTTTGGCAACCACCAGTCACCACTACTGTCTTTATTCCATCTTCCCTACCCAAGAAGTACAGATTTCGTGTACTCATACATAAGATCACAAAGTTAGACTGACACTTTGCTAGTAATATGGGAAGTCCAGACACAACTTTAGCTGGTTTTGCCATTTCAGAGGCATGCCTCAACCCTGTCCACATAAAGCCCTTACCTTAAGAGGGGAATCTGAGAAGAAATGTGTTAATTTTCAGACAGGTCTGTTCCGTGGCCTGATCCCTGCCAGCAGCACCAGCCCCTGCCCCACCTAAGTAGCTTGTGGGAGCCAAAGGCAGAAAATCCACAGCAAGCAGATGCATCTTCTGCAATGCCATATTGTGCTTACAGGTGCTTACAGAACTGAAATCTGCACAAACATTTGCCCATCTGCCTTCCCAAACCTCTGGGAGACACGCAGCTTGTGTAGAGCTAGAAGTTGCACAATCTAGCTACAGAGAGGCACTTACATGAGCTTTTCAGACATAACCAGCTTACCATAATGCCCGAACTCATCCAATCCGCACTATAATATCAACTACCGCATGCTGGTAGTGTGCTCACACAGCTGCTATGGGCAAGGCCTGGTAGGGTTACAAACTAAAAGGAATGGCAGCAATGGCATCAGATAGGCATCCATAATCAGTACTGTACTCTGCCAGATACAAAGGATTAACTAGACAAAGTTGTTTCTTGACAAAGGCTAATCTTTTGGTTGTGCAATATTTATTTTCCCTAATGACTGACAGATACTGAAAATGTCACCTTTGTTCAAAAGCAGGAGGCGTGAGGGATGTATGAAACCCTACAAACTTAACTTGCCTTTAAGTCATAACAAACCTACTAAACCCTTGATGAAGGTAAGCCTTGCCCACCAGCTGACACAATCTCAAGATAAACTGGAAGTTGGACAGAGTTGTTGACACGTTAGACATGAGAGCAAGCATGCCATGCTTGTGTTGCTCTTGGAAGACAAGGAAGAAGCAAGGACCTTGCCTACAGGACTATGGAAAACAGAATTCTACCTCAAATGCATATTAAAAATACGTATTAAAAACTAATGCTCTCATTATTAATATCACAAATGAGAACTACTTTAATAACTCATGCAACTACAAGTTTTTTCACTCAGACAAAAAAAAATAATCCTGTTAGATCAAAAGGGAGATCCTTCCATACTATGTCATGCTCTGACCCTATAAGCACCCCACACTCCTCTACTTATTTCCTGGAGAGATGGCACTCTAAGAATCAGCTGTCCATAAGGGATCATCCCTATCAACCCACCTTGCTTCTTTTGACATCTTCAGTAGTGCCAGCAGCTACAAATCACACCCAACATGTGCTGGGATGGTCACAGGTTGGAGACCAGAACCACCTCTAAAGCCAATGGTTAGCAAGCAATGGCTCTGATACCACTCAGGATCATGCATATCTGCACTATAACTGCATAATAACTAATAACTGCACAGCTAACAATCGCACTGCAAATCTCAATGAACTTCAGTCTCTCACTTGAAGTTCAGTTTTTACACACATCTCATCTATCTCGTACTAACGTTGCTCTTATCAGTTGTGACACACACTATTTTCAACAAAGAACACCTTCATTTGGGTTAGAAAAGCCCATGTAAACTTTATTTAGCTGATGCCACAATCAACTCCTAAATCTTTTCTCTCCTCTGAGAGAATAAACCCAACAAAAATCCCACCCTCAGTCATCATCCCAGCATATTTGTTTAAAATGATACCACAGCAACACCTCTCACCACAAGACACAGTCTATCTCCTCCAGCTCCACAGAACAGCAATCTACAATGCATCAAAGTGACTTTTTGTGTTCTGAAAATCCAGTCTATTCCACAGAGTAAATGAAGTTTGCAGAAATTCTACCTTAGCCTACCCAAATGGAAAGCAAAGAATTTGGATAAAGTGTATGCTTGTTTCAGTTTAAGCTAGGATCTCAGAAGAACATCTACATGTTGTACCTATTAAGATGCTTGCTAACGATTAAATATTTGCATCCTCTTTTTACAAGGGCATTTGCTTCTCAACTGTACTCATAAACAGATGAGCATACCATAAACCACAAGCATCATCTACCTACACAGACCTACTTTCCTACTTTACACAAAATCACAGAAGTGTTTTATCCCATTCCATCACAAAGGAACCTGCAACAGGTTTTCATCATTCCCAGATGCAGAAGGTAACATCACACATTTTGGAATAACTCAAAATATTACGTAATTATCAAATACATCCATTTTATTATTTCCTGTACTTTACTACTACTGTAGTTTAAAAATGAGTATGGCAAGAAGAAGAGCACCTTGGAAGTGGAAACACATTTTCCCCCCCAAAAGAGCAGAGATCTCTACTCTCTTGGTTTCTAAGACAGCTGTGGAAAAGAATGGAGACATCATCTCTCCTACTCTCAGCTTTGCAGAAGGCACAAATCCAAGAGGCACCTGCAGCACCGAACTCAGGTTTTTCATCTCTGCTCTTGGCAGAATGATGAATTCCCTCCTTTGAACCAGAAATTCACTCAAAAACATTCCTAAAAGTAAGCAGTACATGAAAAGCAGCAACAAGCCCTTGTTTAAAAAGCAAGTAAAACCCAAGTCTCAGATAAGAAAACAGAATAAACCTCTGTTGAGAGCTTTGACCTATTACCAGTCATACACATACAAAATAAATGAACTTAAAAACTGCAAAATACAATTCTCAAGCAACATTAACGCAGTAGTGTTTGATGTTCATCTGCACACCATGTGCTCTGTAGAACATTAAAACTGAAAAGGCTGCTTCCGTTATTTTTTACTTTATTGACAATTTAAAGTAACACGCACAGAGACTTGAAAACAGAAGTTCCATTTCCCTAATGACAGCCAAGGAAAAGGAAGACAACAACAGCTCATATCTCAGAATTCTTCTTGGTGCTGCTAGGAATGCAGGACTGACCAACTAAACATCAATTTTGGTTTCTGCAAAAGCGATGCGGACATTTGTGAATTATCATTCAGACTTGTTTCTCTCAGCAGAACATTGGCTTTGCATCCATTTGAATGTCTCACTGATTGAAAACTACTGAAGATACCAAACAGAATACAGGTACTTCTACTCACCACTTGAGCTCTGGATCATGTTTCCAGATTTTTGGACCTCGTCAAATTTCGTGAAAATTACATTCAATCTGTTTGTAAGTTAAAGAAAGAAATCCACAATCAACAGTTGAATTTAATCTTTAGGAACCTTCTACTTTAAGATGTTACAGGACAAATTTTGTTTCAACTCAGGTCATTGAGAACACTGTCAGAAACGTCAAGGGGGAGGGGAGTTACTGCAAAATTAAAAAAATCACAACATGCAATGACTGATAAAAAACAGAAGAGGGATACTGCAGAGATGAAAGAAATACGACTGGAAATACAACACTGAAGATGTGGCAGATCTCATTGTAAAAATACATTTCCAGTTCATGATTACTTTGCCTATTTTTAACAATTTGCAGGAAAAAAATAAGAAGAAATGCAAACTTTGCACAACACTCGTTTGGCCGTGACATTTCTTTCCTAAGCATATCACAGGCCCAGCAGAGCATGAGATCTTTACAGCATCTCATTATTCTTTCCTAGAGATCATACTCTGAGGCCACACTACAGCAGATGTTTCCACTGGAAAACAAGAGACAGCAGCATTCCTTCCATCTGTGTGCACCCCGCCTCTGAAACAACCTCTCCCAATGCTCCCCCTGTGTACAGTCTGTCATCTATGCCATCCTCAGGTTTAATTCTGTTCTGTCCTGAATGTCAGAGACTAAGTGCATGTAGGATGGAAGAAAAACTCTGACCCCGGGAAGAGGTTCAATTATGCAGCATGAGAAGCTTCATAAAGGAAAGGAAATAAAAAAAACCCCTAAACAGTTAAAATATAGGGACATTCTCAACATACCGAGATTGGGGTAATCCTTTTTTACTGAGATCAGCCCTTACACGTTCACCGACATGTCTGTAAATTTCCACAAGGCTGTTTATTGCTGCATCTCGAACCTGAAAGAGAGATGTGAGAAGTCAATCATCCGCGCAGTCTAAAGAAATAAATCCCTGCCATACCTTGGAGAAAGAAATTTGCATATTTCTCAGCAACAACAGTTGCCACTATGTGCACAACCACAGCATCCACAAGAGCTTCCATTCTTTCATTTCAGATAGCAGCACGATCAGTAGGTCTAACTTTACCAAACTTCCACAGATGATAAAAGTATATCAGAAGGGTAATCAGTCACCCAAGTCACCATGTGGACAACTGACTCAGGCTCAGTACTCAGCTGGCCTGCTACAAACAAAGCAATTTCCCAATCAAAACTGCACAAAGTATCCCTGCAGTAAAGCTCATTCTGACCCAGATGACATTACCCAGCACAAGAAAAACAATTCATAGAAATACATGCAACAGAAGAATGAAGGCACAACAGCCCTTGTAGTCCTGCTGTACTCCTGGTCCTTAGTCACATACTTCCACTGAAGTCCAGACAACAGGCAAAGAAGCAAAAAAAAAAAAAAACAACCCAACTACATAGACAAGAACTAAAAACTCCCAACTCTCTGGCCAGTCATCAAACTCACTGTAACGCAACAGAAAGGCAGTATCACAAATGGCTAATTGCTTACTTTTGAGTGTCCCAGGCTTTAACTGCAACCCTAAGTATCTCACAGGAGCAAAGGCTGTATGAACAAATGTAGTTTTACATATTTTCCAAGCTGACTTGCAAAACTGACTGCTGGAAACCCCAGTGCAGTGACACATTTACATACCAACACTCCCTTCCTCTGGGAGGCAGACAGGTAAGCAATCTGCTCTGTCTGCTGGATTACCATCAAGCCATGCACTTCTGTTTGCTTCCAACATTAACCTTCCCCTCCACACACCCTCACTCAACAAAGGGGGTTCCCAAAGCTAAGGCTGGTTGCTGACTACACTGAAACCACCAGTGCTGGAGCAGAGCTGCAAACGGAAACAAAGAAAGCATGGAAGCAAAACAGCACTGGGCCTGAATACATCAGGGCTAGACACAAGGTATTTCTGTGGGTCCAAACTAAAATTAGCTTTGTGTGGCAATGAAGGACAGACATGCACACCCTACTTCCTAGGGAAGAATGACTAACACTCTTCTTTCACCCTGCTCTCCCCCTTTCTACATCATTTCCATCCAGAACGTTCTGAAATGCCACCTTCATGTATTTCAGCCCTCATTTGCTAGTTTTGCCTTTCTGCCCCACAGTCCAGCACTGCAGCACAGGACACAGCCTTCCAGGTGCCAATAGGGCAGCTTTCAATACTGAGCATGGCAGGAGGAAGTGGGGAGGCCAGCACGTGCAGACTGTGCCTCCACAGAAATGGAGGCACACTGCAGCTGGTCAGAGGGAAGACACACTGCTCCTCAGCAGTGACTACACTGCACATATCTGCATGAATCAGTCACCACGGGCCACACACCAGCCACAGCAGCCAAGGGCTGTGACTGCCCAACAAGCAGCCCTGCTGCTGCTCTGTCCATAGCAGCAACAGCCCCAAACACACCAGGCCACAGGCTGCCTAGCAGGGAAATTCTGGAAGGCTCGCAAGGCTGTGTGAAGCTGAAAGGGCAATAAGAAAACAGCTTCTGATACCCACAACAAAAGGGGAAAATGCCACACTTGATGGGGACCTTTGTTTCTCCATCATGTTTCACCAAGAGAGGGCAGCACTGACCCAGCAAATGGCCCAGACGTCCCAGAGCTCAGAAGGCAGTACGCTGCTGCTGACAGACTGGTGTTCGACCAGTTCAGGTATGAACTTTGCGCAGATGAGGTAGAACAGGTCCCCAAGAGATGAGTCGTTAAATCAGCTTCATTTCCCACTCCGTTCTGGAAGCTGAGATTGGGCTGTGCCAGGCACACAAAAGGCAGCAGTGAGGGAACACACTTCAGTCCCCTCGCCGGCTTTCTGGTTTCTGCAACAAGCTCACAGGTACCAGGACCACAATGCCTCTGCACAGCAGCAACTCAGCATCCCCACAGAGTAACACCTTGCTCAGCCACAGCTCAGGAACAGGGAGCACCCTGAATCTTACACTTCCTTAGAAGCCTTCACGGAGGAACCACTTATCCTCCCTGTGTTGGCAAAAATGGGAGAAGCTGCTTCTCACTCGGCCCTCCCCTTTAGCAAGGGGAGGCTTCAGAGCCACTACAAACCCATTCCCCAGCTGTCACCTCACGCTTCCCTCCAGCTACATTCCCACTCTAAACTTGGATCGTGAACACCACCACCCAAATTGGATGGAGATCTGAAATACTCAGAACCTGCAGGTGTCTGCACTACCTCACATTAATCTGAACTCTGCTTCCTTATCCCCTTCTCTCACTAGCCTCACACATTTCCAGTTTCAGATTAGGTTACAAGCTCTCTTTGGCAAGAGAGCTCTCTCCTATGTAACAGAACTGGGACAACCCCAATTTAGGATGTTAAAATTGTAACAAAGCTAGCAGACAAGATACAGACAATTGCATCTTCCAAAGCAGGATAGAAAGCACATAGAAGCAACCAGATACTTCTTACAGTATGTACTGCTGATGTAAGTTTCCTATACAACTTATCTTCTCTCTGCCCCTTGTTCACAATCTCCCCATACAAGCGCTGGCAGTGCACATGGCCAGGCTGTCAGTCTGGTCCCATTTGCCCTCCCTGCCCAAACTGGTTCTTATCTGAAGGTACACAGATGCTTCACTGAGCCTGAAGGGATGCCTGCAGCTTCCCATGCACTCAGCTGTAAGGTACAGGAGTAATTCCCTTCCTAGACAGGTTTCCTGTTCTGTTCCACATCATCTGCAGATTGATGCTGTTCCACTGAACTTATGATTCTACTGTAGGCATATTACAACTCTGACCCACGCAAAATCAACCAAGAGCTTTTCATAAACATCATTCACCAACAGCAGCACATTTTTCAGCTAATTTATCAGCTAGAATACAGAGCCCCACCTACCAACAATGGTACTCAACACTACTTTCAGAAGCAACTCACAGCAAAAGCTTACCTGGCTGTTCGGATCTCCAAGTAAGTTACATATATGTGGCACTATCTTACTCAGTGTTAAACTCTGAGCTCCAGATCTGGGAATAAAGAACAAAAAGGGGATCGGTGTGAACCACGGAGCAAGTCTGCAAGCATAACTTAAAGTTGCAGGAGGTTCTGACTTACGCATTGAGTGTTGCAATAAGGCAGAGACAGATCCCTTCTCTTGTCCGGAAATTCTTGTGTTTGAATCCTCCTAACATCCTATCCCACACATACTGTGGGAGACAGAAAACAAAGTGAGACAAAACAGGAGGCCAGGGAAGAGAGATTCATTCTTTCATACACTGTAACATTTTTGCATGACAAACTTTACATCCATTCAAGCTGAATAAGACAACAAGCAATAAAACATTTCTAAGTATGACTAGTTCTTTGCTGAATTCATACTAACTTGCCACAAACTAAAATAACAGCACTACACAAAGCAAGTGCCTTCCAGCACCCAGAACAATTACACTGACTGCTCCTTGATAAATCCAAGCAGCATTCACACACTCCCATGCATACCCTGACCACCCAGCCATCCAATAGCATTCTCACATAACATGAATCATTCATAACAGAGGCATAGGGAGACGAGGGCATTAGAGACTGCCATAGGAGAATACTGTGATAGAAGAGAAAGTAAGGAAAAGTTAACATCTACACAGAGTACCAGGACACCAACAACAGAAATACTCAAACAGCTCCGCTTCAAGCAGCTCCTCTCTCACATACCACAAAGGGCTGTGAAGCATACCTGAGGATTAGCAGCCTGTTCCATGATTTTCAGCAGCAAGGTCTGATCCTGCTCCCGCACAGAGTCCTTGGAATCCCCCAGCCTATCCAGCAAGCTGGGCAGCACTGCAAAAGGAGAACAGCAACATCCATATCCCTCAGAAGGAAACCACCACAGCCGCACAGCCCCTCTGCCCCTCAGAAGAGGGTGAGACATCAGAGCTGCAGGAGGGGAAAGGCAGCATTACTCCCAGCCCTCACCTGTGCCGATCTGAGCCTTGAAGCGGTCCTGCAGGCGGGACACCAGTGCGGAGATGATGTCGATCCCCAGCAGCACCACCTGGAAACAGAGGACAGGTGTCAGCATGAGGTTGAGGGCCGGGCAGGAAGCAGACCCCGTGGGCTCGCTTCACAGGGCTTCCAGGAGCACGGAGAGCACTGAGCTGTGGCGCAGAACCCACACTGTTGTACACAAGGGTGCGCGTGTGCTGTATGCGTAGAGACCGTAGCACGTGGGAACAAACACCTTAATTAATTGTTATTACACTTGTAATCAGGAAATGGCGTGCACTGACATCCGTCTCACCATTCGCCTGCAGAAATTAAACGCGGCTTTGAGGAGGTAACCAGGATCTGAGGAGGGCGGTTCAGGCAGTGCGACTTCGTCCAGGCGAGGCCGGGTGCTGCCGGCAGGGGGCGCTCTCCGCCACACTCCCGCCGCGCGGCCCGGCCCCCTATGCAAATCGCCCGGCGGACGGCGCGGAGCACGCTGGGTAGCGCCCCTCCGGCCCACAGAACGCCTTCAACCGAGGCCGCGAGGGGGGAATAGCGGGGCCCAGCGGGAATACGTCCCGCGGACCGCGCCCCCGAGCCGATGGGGCGTGCAAGCAGCGCCGGGAGCGCGCGTCCCCTCACCCTGACCCGCGGTGCGGTCGGCTCGCACTTAGGGCGGGCGCGCGACAACCACCGCCAACCGTCCTTATCTTGGGGTTGCGCGGCCGCTCGATGAACGCGTGGTGAGAGCGGCACTGCTAACGCCTGAGCAACACACGTAGCGCCCGCGTGCGCGCGCGGCGCAATTTTTGGAACCTCGCACCGGCGCGTGAGCCCGGCGCGTTTCTCACACGGCTGCGCGCGGACCGACCAGCTGTGCGCGTGCACGGCGGCCACCACGTTCCCTTAAGGGCTGCGGCCCTTTGTCCTGAGCTTCGCCCCGCCCCCACCGCTGCAGGTGATGTCAGAGTGGGGGCTGTACGGAGGTCACGCAGCAGCCGGCTGTGAGGACCTCACAGCAAAATTTAACGACACCACAGAGCACGAAGTCAGCGCTGTAGGAAATCAGCGAGAAAAACAACCTGCGCTACCGACTGGTGCTGCTTCTGGCTCCTCCCAACTCAGTAGTTAGGTGTCTTGCTCGCAAACACGGCCACTGCACCATGCACAACTGCTGCCAACTGAGCATTACACGGCCAGGTCCTCAGCCAGGAAAATGCAGCTGGCCCTGCAAGCACTGAGATCACGCATGTGTCAGACGGAGCATGAACTGCAGCTCTGCAGACAAGGCACCTCTCAGGTGCTGAAGGCAGCACGAAGCATCGCACAGAACCACATCAGCTATAGCAGCTCAAAGCTCCTAGCACAGAAGTGCTGACCCCAACTCCACCTGCAACGCTACAGAACAGAAAATGCTGAGCACACTGTAGGTGAAAGCAAAGTGCTTGTGAGGGGTTAGCTAGCACCTGGAAGAACAAGGCAGCCCAGCACAGGAGCAGCCAGGGGTCTGCTGGGGGGCTGAGCAGGTGCTGCTGTGAGGCACCCATAGGCCAGAATGAACAGGGCAGAGGCCATGCACCAGGTGTTAATGTCCATTGCTAGATCACACCAGTAAAGGTTTTTCTTGCCTTGTTTGGGAAAAACACTTATAAGTGTGCAATAGCATTCTCAGCAGCCATTACTTTTGCAAAGCTCTGGAAAGACCCTAAGAACTGAAGCTTCCCCAGCAATTCCCAGCCTTGCAAGCAGAATGCCTGAGCAGGATCTACACACACCTGTCTCCAGACACTGCCATAACCTGTAACAGCCTCATCATCCCACAGCAGCCAACTCCAATTGAGAAAAGAAGCACTCAAGGTACTTTGCTAGCTGCAAAATGAAAAACTGCATAGACAATAACCCAAGAGACGGATGTAAGGTACAGAAAGGAGCCACAGCAAGCAAGAGGGAGCATGTCATCCACACAGGAAGGCATCATTTCAGCAGGAGCCTTACTCCTGTGAAGCTGCTTCTTTAGCACCCTGAAATCTTTCTGCCAGGCTGCATGGCAGGGTCACTGCCAGCAAGTGTGAGGTCTTCCCAGAGATGAGCTGAAACATCCATCAGCTGACCACAAAGGAAGCCCATAATCACACAAGGACAATGACCTAAATTCTGCTAAATTCCACCTTTGATTATCACAAAATTCCTGTCTGGAATTCCCCCTTGGTTTCTGCCAGAGTCCTTTCTTCACTTTTTGTTGCTAAAGGCTGCAGGAGAGTGCTGCCAGCATCATAGCATTCCAACTGCCAAGTGAAAGAGTACTAAGTATTCTACTGGACAGTGGAGCTGGGGGAAAAGGTGGGAGCAAGCAGGCTCCTGGCTCAGCATTCAACCAGCAGAGCTCCAACCAGTCTGTAACCCATGCAGGTCTGTTCCAGCTCTTAGTACAGTTCTTCATCAACTCATGCACAGTCGTTACTATTTTAACATCTGGCAAGTAGATATCTTTCAAGAATTTGAAATATCTGGTCTAGGAAACAGCAATCAAAATAATAATAATAAAAAAAGTATCCCCACTCATTCAGAAAGTAATGTTAACTGATGACAATGCTTTCTACATGCTCCAGGATCCAGACACCGCAGCCACAAACACATAGGAAATCAGCATTCTTCTGCTTCCTGAATACTTTCCCTCTCTTCAACTCCCACTGACCTCTGAATCTGTCCCTTTGCCTTTCTGGCTGTCACTGGTGAGATCTGGAGCAACAGCTGAAGCATTGCTCCACTGAGCTCCCACACGAGAACAGAACATCTGTTTTCCTCCCTCAGACTGCAAACAGACAGCCCTTCCATCGCTTCCAACACATACTCAGCTATATGAGAGAATAGCAGAGCACACTGCATCTACATTAGGGCACACCTATGGGCCACTCTGGCACACAGCATGCAGTCAGAAACCCAGAAGAGGTTTCTCAAGCAGACTACCTGCCCCCAGATGCTGGGGGCTGAGCCAGCCACCCATAGGCAGTGGCAGACTTCTCACCAGGGCACCAAAGCAGCAGATGCCTGCAGAACAGCTCTGGAGCAGAACGTGCACCCAGACCTACACACACTGCAATTCAGTTATGTACTTACAGCTTCTCTAACAAGCTACCTAGAAAATCCAGTTACATACAGGTAATATTCCACACCATCCTATACACCTGATATTCCAAGTCTGAAGTGGGTGACGACCATCACCACAGGGCAGCTATTAACAGAAGAGAGTTAGACTGCTTTACTGCAGCCCTGTTGGAAGCCTACCACTACAGCACTCTCCCCCACGCCAACAGCCTGGCAATATCTGGGTCAGGGTCCAGCTGAGGCATGTGGATGGGCTGATGCTGGTGAAGACACACACCTTCCTGCAGCTGAAGCATTCCAATCTCCAGAGCTGCTAAACCAGTGAGACGTTTCACAGAAGTCACTGAATTCCTATAGAGCAAAATGAAACAGAAGTGCCGCAAGAGAAGAGGAGGGAATGCTTCCTACCACACTGTTTGAAGGAACCAGCATTTTCCTAAGGGAAACCAACATGCCCAGATAAAACAGCTGATAGCACAAAGAGGAAAATCAGTTGGAAAATTTTAGGGACAGGCCACATACATTTACTTCCAGAAATGCACATAAACATGGGAGGCAAATGCTTCCTGTCAGTGCTCCAAGGTCTATGACACACTGAAAAAAGCACTCTTAGGCTGGAGATGCACAAGCAAGTGTCCCCCAGTTCTTGTGGATTAATATAAGAAGAGAATTAATTCAATGTTTAACTGAACCATTAGCTCTTGGATTAATTATTTCAAACGGAACTCTTAAGAAACTGAAATAGCTCAGAGGAACAAAAGCTGCAGGCACTATACAAGAACCCACTCAGCTCAGCCTGTGCACAATGCTGGCACTCTGGGAAAGCACCGAAGCCTGCAAAGGAATCAACACAACTCCAAAGAGACAGCAGCTCTTCAAGCCTTGGAGCCAGAGCAGAGCTCAACAATAAAATCAGATTGTGGAGGTCTCCAGGGGCCAACCAGTTCAACATGCTCCCATCCCACTGCTCAAATTTAGATCAGGTTGCTCAAAATTATACTAAGCACTTTGTTTTGTTCGAGCCTTAATATCTAGGCCTTCAACTGCCAGTGATTTTAAACATTCATTAACACTTGAAACAGTTTTATGTGTTCTAGTTAGAATCAGCCCTGTCCATTTACGAATGGATTTAATGAGCTCCTCTGTCACCAACACCAAGGCTTTGCTGGCAGACTGTGAAACAGATGTGTTTTAATCCTTCTGTAGGCACAGAAGCAGATGAGACAACTCTTTGTAGTCCTCCAAGGCTCCAGCTACGCGACCCAATCCATAACAACCGTAGATTTCTAGTTTTCTGTAGGTACCAATGACCTAAGAGACGGACCAAGCAGCAAGAGCAGGGGTGTGTGTGTGTCTCAAGTTCACACCAGCCACAGCAGGCACCGGTACATTCCTCACAGTAATGAAAAGGCACAGCGCTTTTGGTTTATTTACCTAGGAGGTTTTGTTTAACTTGACAACATCTGATAAAAGTAAAAAGTTCAAAGCCGTACACAATGATAGGCTCCAATTACTGCTCCTCTCTATCAGTCTGTGTCAAAGCAGCCTGGCTCAGGAAGGAGGCTGCTGCCTGCCAGCTCCTTGCAGTATGCGGCACTGAGAATAGGAGGTTGAGTTTCACAGATAGCAACTATGTCAGCCTAGGAAACAGCACTTAGAGAAACAGGAGTTCAGATAAGGCGATGCTCAAAGATAGAGCCAACACACACAAAATGTTTCCCTGATAACATTGCTCCTGCTGCTTATTTAGAGATCCAGCAGCGGCCTTTTCTTCAGTAGAGGCTCTGTAAGAAAAGCCATGCACCTCAGTTGCTACGTCTTACACAAAAGGAATGACATCAACTGATTACGGAGGGAACCCGACTACAGTTGCGTCTCTGTGCCCTTCATCTATTTCCTCCTGTAATGCAGGGCTAAGAGCAACCTGGCAGGATGGGGGAAATATAAACTGATGTTTTCCAA